CTTGGTGGCAGTCGACTTCTCGTGGAATTATTTTTGAAAGTGAGTTGAGTTTGTTCAATTTGGAATGTGCCTCACAGCTTTTCTGTCAAAAAAACGATCGAAGCAGTCGTATCAGCAATAGTGGTAGTAGTAGTAGTAGTAGTAGTAGTAGTAGTAGTAGTAGTAGCAGTAGTAGGAGTAGTAGTAGTTGTAGTGGTGATAGTAGTAGTAGTACTAATTAGTATTTAGTAGTAGTAGTAGTAGTAGTAGTAGTAGTAGTAGTAGTAGTCGTAGTCGTAGTCGTAGTCGTAGTCGTAGTGTAGTAGTAGTAGCAGTAGTAGTAGTAATAGTAGTAGGAGTAGTAGTAGTAGTGGTAGTAGTAGTAGTAGCAGTAGTAGTAAAAGTAGTAGTAGTAGTAGTAGTAGTAGTAGTAGTAGTAGTAGTAGTAGTAGTAGTAGTAGTAGTAGTGGTATAGTAGTAGTAGTAGTAGTAGTAGTAGTCGTAGTCGTAGTCGTAGTCGTAGTCGTAGTCGTAGTAGTAGTACTCGTAGTAGTGTAGTAATAGTATGGGCTTTCTTGGAGGCCTCTTGGGCCGTCTTGGAGGCCTCTTGGCTCGTCTTGGGGCCATCTTCGGCGTCTTGGAGCGCTCGTTTGGGCCGTCTTGGGGCGGAAGGCTCGGATTGTCGGTTCAAGCTCCCCCTCTTGGGCCCCTCTTGGGGCCGTCCTGGGACCTTCTTGGGCCGTCTTGGGGGCCTCTTGGGCAGTCTTGGCGCCCTCTTGGGCCGACTTGGGCGCCTCTTGGGGGCCTCTTGGGCCGTCTTGGGGCTGTCTTGGGGTGCTCTTGGACCGTCTTCAACGCCGTAAAGGCCGACAAGTCGTATATGATGAAAATGTACGTTTGTCCCAGAGGAATTCGATGATTTTCGGCTCTTCGGCCCTTCTGAGGACTGTTCTTGGAGGCCTCTTGGGCCGTCTTGAGGCCTCTTGGCTCGTCTTGGGGCCATCTTGGGCGTCTTGGAGCGCTCGTTTGGGCCGTCTTGGGGCGGAAGGCTCGGATTGTCGGTTCAAGCTTTCCCTCTTGGGCCCCTCTTGGGGCCGTCTTGGGGCCCTCTTGGGCCGTCTTGGGGGCCTCTTGGGCCGTCTTGGCGCCCTCTTGGGCCGACTTGGGCGCCTCTTGGGGGCCTCTTGGGCCGTCTTGGGGCGGTCTTGGGGTGCTCTTGTGCCGTCTTCAACGCCGTAAAGGCCGACAAGCCGTATATGATGAATATGTACGTTTTCCCGAAGGAATTTGACGATTTTCGGCTCTTCGGCCCTTCTGAGGACTGTTCTTGGAGGCCTCTTGGGCCGTCTTGGAGGCCTCTTGGCTCGTCTTGGGGCCATCTTGGGCGTCTTGGAGCGCTCGTTTGGCGTCTCGGGGCCCTCGTGGGCCGTCTTGGAGACGTCTTGGGGCCTTCTTGGCCCGTCTTGAGCCCTTTTTGGGTCCAAAAGAGCCCGTGGTTCGCTCGGGCCGGGCCCGGGGGGGGGGTCGAATCGTCGGTTTGGGGTCCCATGGGGGGGGGGTAAGGGGGGGAACTATCTCACACGCCTAGAGACCCACAAGGGGTCGGCGGATTTAGATTTTGGATTCCAGATTTTGGATTCTGGATTCTGGATTCGAGCCTGCTCCTGGCTCTGACGCATCGCATTTTTGGGATTCCTGCTTCCTGATTCTGGATTCCGGATTCGAAGAGGCTCTGGGCTCTGATGATTTGATGGTGCATCGCATCTTCGGGATTTTGGATTCAGGATTTCCGATTCGATGAGGCTCCTGGTTCCGATGCATCGCATTTTATTCTAGATTTTGGTTCCGAATTTGGATCAGATTCGAGAAGGCTCCCCGTTCTGATGCATTGCATCTTCAGGATTCTGGATTTCGGATTCCGGGTCCCCGATTCTGGATTCGAGGAGGCTCCCAGCTCTGATGATGCATCGCATTTTTTCGATTCCAGATTTTGGATTTTGGATTCGAGGAGGCTCCCAGCTTTGATGATGCCTCGCATCTTCTGGATTCAGGATTCTGGATTGTGGATTCGAAGAGGCTCCCAGCTCTTGATGATTTGATGATGAATCGCATCTTCTGGATTCCAGATTCCGGATTCCAGATTGGAGGAGGCTCCCGGCTCTGATGCATGCATCTTCGGGATTCTGGATTCCAGGTTTTGGATTTTGGATTCCAGATTCCAGATTCGAGGAGGCTCCCAGCTTTGATGGTGCATCGCATTTTTTGGATTCCAGATTTTTGGTTTTGGATTCCAGATTCGGGATTCTGGATTCGAGGAGGCTCTCTGCTCTAATGCATCGCATCTTTCGGGTTCCTGATTTCGGATTCTGGATTCCCGATCCGACCTCTCCGGCTGGACTATCGGGATCATGTCTCCAAACGTTGCTTAAGGCGCGTGGATTAGCGAAGGGTCCCGCCTCCATACCAGATCGGCGCACTCCGTTGCAAAGCAGGCGGCGCAGAATTCATGCTTCGGCGGGCGCTTTCCCCGATCCGTAGATCTGGCGCCCACGCGCCAGATGCACGGATCCGTAATCCAAGTTAGCGTGTGCCAGAGATGTTGTCCGCTGAATCCCGCTCAATCCCGCCAAATCCCGCATAACCTTGGCTAGTTTCACGTAATCCCGCTTAATCGGGCTTAATCCTTGGCTCAATCTGGCTTACTCTGGCTCAATGGCCCCTTACTCGAGCTTATTAACCCCAGGCGTTCTTACACAAATGTTTCAGAGGTTGCCTCCTAAGCAATGTGGTCGTCGTCGTCCTCCTCCTCCCCTCCTCGTCCCCTGCCTGATCCTCGTACACCTCCTGCCTAATGCTGCTTCTCCTCATCCTCGCCCTGCTCCTCATCGTCAGCCTCGTCCGCCGCATCTTCGTCCTCGTCGTCATCATCATCACCATGACCATCACCACCACCATAATCATCATCATCATCACCATCATCATCTTCATCTTCATCATAATCATCATCACAATCAGCATCACCACCATCATCATCACCATCAGTAGCAGCATCAGCAGCATCATCATCACCACTATCATCATCAACATCATCATCCTCATCATCATCATCATCATCATCGTCACAGTCATCACCATCACCTCCACCATCATCACCATCATCATCATCCTCATCCACATCCACATCCACATCATCATCATCATCATCATCGTCATCATCATCATCATCCTCACCAGCATCATACTGATAATCATCATCATGACCATCATTATCTGCATCAACAGCAGCAGCACAAGCATTACCACCACCACCGCCACCACCACCATCGTCATCATCATCATCATTCCCATTTTATATCAGCAGTGTTATCTGCAGTAAGACCATTATTGCTATCATCGTCATTACTGTTAGTACTACGAGTAGTGTTTAGTGTTGGTGTCATCGCCATCATCATTCTTATCATCACCATCATCATCAGCATCACCATCGTCATTTTACCTTGTTTATGAGTTTTATTGTCAATATCGTTCTTATTACCATTTTTAGTAATCGCACTATTGTTGCTTCCTCATTCGTAGTATCACCAATTTTGCGAGTCTTACCATTAATGCATGTCATCTGCATCATCAGTATTATTGCTAATATTTGTATTTTTCAAATATTTTTCAGATCTCATTATTATCCGTAAGAGCTTCGCCCCCGTGCCGCTGGCCGCCCTCTCTTAGAATGGGACTTGCCAGAACTGTGTTGGGATGCCTGAACGCTGACGTGAAGCAGTTTCGGGACTTTACGCGGGGCCAATCTTAATGTACGAGGGTTTATGGCTTCGGTGGCGCGAATACGAAGTAATTTACGATGGTTTATGGCTTCGGGGACGCGTATATGGTGTAATTTACAAGGTTTGTGGCCTCGGGGACGCACATATGGTGTAATTTAAAAGGGTTTCTTGCCTTTGTGGCATCGGGGGCGCAAACATTGTGTAATTTGCAAGGGTTTATGGCCTCGGGGACGCAAGCATGGTGTAATTTTCAAGGGTTTGTGGTTTCGGGGACGCAAGTATGGTTTACTTTAAGAGGGTTTATGGCTCGGGGGACCCGAATATTGTTTTTGATGTTCGAAGGTTTATGGTTTCGGGGGCGCGAATATTATGTAATTTGCATGGTTTACCGCCTCGGGGGCGCGAATATGGAGTAATTTGCGAGGGTTTATGGTTTCGGGGACGCGAATATGGTGTGACTTACAAGGAATTATAGCTGCGGGGGCGCGAATCTCATGTATTTTTGCGTGTCCCACGCCCCCCCCCAGGAATTCACACAACGCGATCTGGGCGAGGTTCAAAAGCTGGTTTGGGGCTTCCCCTCTCGCGCGTTCAGCAACACTTGATAGTAAGGAAGCAGAAAGCAGGAATGAATAACAGTGGAAGCTGGAAGCTGCAACTGGAACCGGGAGCTCTAATCCTCATCCTCGCAGCCCGGTGGCCCCGCAAGGGGGCCGGTCGATTATTGTTATTATTACTATTGTCATTGTTCGTGTTTTTTATCGTTAAAAAGTATACTTATATACTCATCTGTACTGTATTGCTATGTTTATCCTTATCTTATCATTTTCACTATTATTACTTTTATTAGTTTTGTTGTATTCTTCTTATCATCATTTGCCATGGTATTCTTGTTGATAACGCGTCTATGTATAACAGTGTTCATATCGCTACGAGTATTTGTATTCTTATTTTCATTTTTACATTCAGTGTGTTTCGTAGTATTCTCATCTTCGCGCCAGCCACTGGCTCAAGGTGGCCGCTTGGGCTTGAGCCTTTCGGGAGACCGCCAGGCGGCCCTCCGCCGCGCTCGCTCTTGCCGCCCCGTTGCCCGCCGGCGGCTGTGCCCGTCGAGTGTGGGATGGCCGCCCGCTGTGTACGACCTCCGCTGCGCCGCTGACCATGCAGCTCACCAGCCTTCCGCCGCGAGCGGGGCGGAGCTGGTCGCCCTGGTCGTACTGGAGGCCGCGATTGAGCGCCGCCGCGATGTGGGTCGAGGAGGCCTGGATCCGCGTGGACAACCTGGAGGCTGCGAGGGTGCCTGGGAGGCCGCGCCGCACACCGTCAAGGCCGTGGACTGGGCTATCGAGCCGCCAAAGGCGCTCGATGGTCATCTTCTGTCGGGCCTGCTCAGCGTCGTGTCCGTAGTGGGCATGGTCCTCGGCGCTGCTCGCATCAGCATCTCTTTCGGCTTGGTGACAGGGCGCCGCTTCTGCGTGCTGTTCGCGCTGCTCTGCTTCGGCCTCATGGTCCCCGCCGCGGTGTGGCCATGTCGGAACGTCCTGTACCTCGCCATGGGCCTCGTCGTGATCCGCAGGGTGGTACTCCTGGTGGGCTGCGCCGTCCTTCCCCTGATCGGGTGCATTGTCATCGTGTCGCTGAAGCTCATGCTGCTGCGCTGTGGGGGTGCGCTGCATTACTCCAGCGTGCAGGCGCGTCGCACCAACTGAGTGATCACGCAGCGCGTCGTGAGGTTCGTCTTCTGTGCGCTGGTGTCGCTGCGCCGCTTCGTGTTCAACTTTGCCAGGCTTGTTGCGTGCCGCCCTTGTCGCGCAGCCTCGCAAGCTGGCCGTTCTCACGTGGGCTCCTGGAGCGGGCATTTGGCTGGCGGTTCACATGCCAGCCTCGCTCACTTTCCACGGAGCTGTTCCGCTCATGTGTGGTGGGGGTTGAGGCCTTGTTCGCCGTGGTTGCCTCCATATACGTGCTGCTCCTGGTCCCTGGCTGCGTGGACAGTCCGTGCCTGGTCGACGGAGCCGTCGTCATCGCCGCACTCGGGTGCTGGCGGCGGTGTTCAGGGGTCCTGCGTGCGTGCGATCTGGCGATGGGTGTGCTGGAGGCCGAGGCAAACCTCCTGAGGAACGAGCGGCGCCGCCGCCGACGCAAGAGGCTTGGGTAAACCTCCCAGTCGAGCTGCCCAACCGCTGTGTGCGCTGCGTGCGCCTCTGCCTCGGTGTCGTGTCGTGTGCATGCCGTGCCGTGCCAGAAGAATGAAGATCCGTGCTAGCATGCGTGCCGGCCTGGTGGTGCCATGCCGCCGAGGCGGCCTGCCCCGTCCTCTGCGCCGAGAGTGTCGTGCGCTGGGGCGGACGACCTGTATGGCTCTTTTGAGTGTTGTGCTGGGCGTGCGCGGCCTTGTCAGGGCCAAGGTAAGTTTGCATAGCGGCGACGAGTGATCGGTCGTGGGTAAGGGTGTGATTGCGGTTCTCTCTCTCTCTCTCTCTTCCTTGCCTCGTGTCGTCATGTGTATCACGATCTGGACCATCATCATCATCAGCAGCATCATCAGCATCATCAAACATCGGCATCATTAGTTCATTATCAACATTATCATCATACTTATCATCATCATAAGTATTGTTCTCATCATCATCAACCTCATCATTATCATCATCATACGCATTATTACCATGATCGTCATCAATCATCGCCATCATCATAACCATGGTGATCATCATCATCACCATCATCACGACCACCATCACAATCATCGTTGTCATCATCATCACCATCACTATCACCATCACCATCATCGTCATCGTTATGATCTGCATCAGCATCGTCATCATCACAATCATCACCATCATCACAAGCATCATTACCGTCGTCACCATCATTATCATCATCGGCATCGTCATCATAATGATCATCGTTGTCGTCGTCGTTAACGTCGTCGTCGTCCTCGTCGTGGTCGTCGTTGTCGTCGTCGGCGTCGTCGCCATCATCGTCGTTGTCGTCATCATCGTCATCACCATCACCACCACCACCATCGCCGTCATCACCACCATCACCATCAGCATCATCATCACCGCCGCAACCACCACCATCATCGTTATCATTATCATCATTAGCATCACCATCACCACCATCATCGTCACCATCAGCATCGTCATCAATATCATAGTCGTTATCACCATCACCATCATCATCATGGCGTCTGCTCGTTGATGATGACGATGATGATGATGCTGGTGGTAAGGGTGGTGATGATGATGATTATCTTGATAATGATTATGATGATGCTGATGATGATGACGATGATGATGATGATGATGATGATGATGATGATGATGATGATGATGATGATGATGAGGTGGATGTTGATGATGATGGTGATGATGATGATGACGCTCCACAAGGTCCTGGTGATGAGGGCGGCCGCAGTGGCGGCCATTTTCCTGGTCCTCGTGTTCGGTGTCCTCGTTGCGACGGTGCTGGTTCTCCGCTTCCCAAGGTTCCTCGGACTGGTGGAGTTGACCGTCTTCCTTCGGCTGGTGATGCTGGCCTTCAAGTTCATGGAGCCGCTGTTCATCATGGTATTCCGTGCACTGGTGATATGTTTCCTCACGATGCTAGCGGTGAGCTTCTTGATGGTCGTTTGCGTTCTGATGGTCGTTGGCTTTCTGATTGCCGTGCCTTTCCTGATGGACGAGAGCTTTCCGATGATCGTGGCATTCCTGATGGTCGCGAGCTCCCTGATGTCAGTGCTGCTTCTGCTGTTGGTTACGGCATGTGGAGTTGGCCTGCTGGTATATACTTGTTAATAGTATTACTATTATTATTATTCGCACTACTATTATTCGTATTTTCATGATTACGGATATGATTATGTTTATCATTATTGCTGTGCTAAGTTGTAGTTTTACTACTTCTATGTTTTTTTTGCTTCCACTATTTTCATTTTTTGATGTATGATTATGGTTATGATTATGATTAAGATTGTGATTCTGATTCTGATTATGTTCATGATGATGGTGATGATTGTGATTCTGATGCTGATGATAATTTCTATTACCAATTCCCTCAGACTTCAACGTTCTCATCCTCAGCAGCAACATCCTCATTCTAACTTTCATCATCATCTTGATCCTCATCCTCATCCTCGCCAGGGCGATGGTCGTCGGCCTCCTCCTCCTCTTCGTCCTCCTCCACCACGTCCCTCCCTCTGGCCGCAGGATTGCGGAGGAGTCGAGCATTTTCGAGACCATCGAGCGGCCAGCCCGGGGGGAGGCTTCCCCGGTGCTCCTGATATCGAATCGGCGGTCGCCGGCCCGCCGGGCGATTCGTCGCCTTTCCCTTCCCAGAGGGAGGAGGAGACGTGGAGGAGATGATCATAGGAGGAGAGGGTGCCGGTACAGTCACCCTTCCGTTGTTCTCGCCTTCTTGGGCCTCTTGGGGTGGTCAGAACGCGCTTTGGAAGAGGTCCGGTGAGTCGCGGTATCACTACCCCTTTGTTCTCCAGATGGGGAGTTGAGGGGAAGAGCAGTAATAGCAAGAAGCGGGGGAGGTGGAGGAAGAGGGAAGGGGATCAGTGGGGAGAGGGAGTAGGGGGATGAGGGAAGAGGAGGAGGAGGAGGAGGAGGAGGAGGAGGAGGAGGAGGAGGAGGAGGAGGAGACGGAGGAGGAGGTGGAGGAGGAGGCGGAGCAATAGGAGGAGGCGGAGGAGGAGGAGCGGGAGGGGGAGGAGGAGGAGGAGGAGGAGGAGGAGGAGGAGCAGGAGCAGGAGGAGGAGGAGGAGGAGGAAGAGGAGGAGGAGAGGGTGAAATGATAATTAATAGCTATAGCGAGAAGGCGGAAAGGAAGTGGAGGAATAGGCAGGGGGAGCAATGAGGAGAGGGAGGAGGGTGATGATGATGATGATGATGATGATGATGATGATGATGATGATGATGATGATGATGATGATGATGATGATGATGATGATGATGATGATGATTAGAAGGAGCGAGACCAGTATAAACCCAAGACGCGTCAACGATGTTGCAATAGACCTTCCCGCAAAGTTCCCTTCTCTTAGGTCCCCACAATCAGGTAGCTTCACTGCGAAATGTACCCCATTGGAAGACAACAGTATGAGAATTCTGAACCGTGCCCGAACACCACTCTATGGACTTCAGCGCAGCGAATTAACGTGTCTGTTTGACTGTTGCGTCCTGACAATCCTATCTCCTGCCAGAACACCGTTCCTGGGACTTCAACCATACGAATCCTTGAAACTGGTGTGCACTTTGAGGACGCAGGCGCACGGCTCTAAGGCGAGAGCACATTTTGAGAACGACCCGGCCTCCATCCGTGAAACTGAAACTTTTTGCATTATTGTTCACGCTTCGCGAATTCCCACCAGCCTATCCAGAAGCCCTGCCCATGAGAGCTGTCGGGAAGTGGAGAGAAGAGACACATACAGTAATAGTAAAACAGAGCGTGCAAGGAGAGGAGAGGAAGGAGGATGTTGAGCCATCTTGGAGGTTATCTTGGGGCATCGGAGGCCTCCTTGGAGCCACGGGGCTGTAATGGGCGATCTTGGGGTCATCTTGGAGCTCTTTCGGGGCATCTCGGGGTCCTCTTGGGGCTCCCTCCTCCGGGGCCATCGAAATAGCCTCTTGGGGCGCTATTGGGGTCCTCTTCGGGCGATCTTGGGCGCTCTTGGGGCAGTCTTGGGGGCTTCTTGGGCCCATCTTGGGGCCCTCGTGGGCCATATTTCGTAGGGCCATCTTGAGGCCTCAAACGCGCATCGGAAGCGTAAAGGCGAGAAGGCAAACATCATTGATTTTCCTTAGATGTTCGAAGCATTTTGGCTTCTCGGGGGTTCCTGAGGGGTCGCCAACAGTACCTGGAACCGTCTTGTGGCCCTCTTGGGGCCTCTTGGAGGCATGTTGTTAGCTATCTTGAACCATGTTGGGCTATCTTGAGCGAGCTTGGATGCCATCTTGGGCTCTCTGAGGCCTTCTTGGAGCCGTCTTGGGCGAACAAGGGTTCTCTGATACCTCGCGACCCCCTCCGTCCAGGTCCAGGGGAGGGGGTAGGAGGAGGGTCAACCCCTCCCCGAAGGGGAAGAAAGGGGTTTTTGGAAGAGGAAAGCAAGACATCGCTAGACCACCTGTCTCCCAGAGGGCTGGTGGGATTCTGCAACGAGTGTGCGCGGCGCTAAAGGCGGGCGAGAGCCAGATTTTGAAAGCGGCTTGCCCTCCGTGCGTGACTCTGTTACGGGGGGGCGAGGAGGAGGAGGAGGAGGAGGAGGAGGAGGAGGAGGAGGAGCAGGAGGAGGAGCAGGAGGAGGAGCAGGAGGAGAGGAGGAGGAGGAAGGAGGAGGAGGAGTAGGAGGAGGAGGACCAGTGTTAAACCCAAGGGCCATAAGCGATGTTGTTTGCATTTACGAAAAAGGAGCACCCTCCGTCCGTGGAACTGTTGCGGGTTCCCAGGCTTCCGGATCACCAGCGGTGGGGAGGTATCGGGCGAGACCGCCGGGAGCGCGCCCCGCCGAAGCTTGTTGGGTGCGGCGGGAGGGAGGAGACGGAATGGAGAGGGAGGAGGAGGCGGAGGAGGAGCAGAGGTTGTCAGGAGGATGGGGGGGGGAGGAGAGGAGGGGGGAAGAGGAGGAGAGGAGGAGGAGGAGGAGGAGGAGGATTTTTTGCCTGGCGGGCAATGTCAGGAGAAGGAGGACGAAGATGGGCAGGGTGAGAAGGAGGATGAGGAGGAGAAGGATGGCGATGAAACGTTTATTAGAGGGGCCGGGTGGGCACGATAGTTTTCATGGGGCTGTAATATTTGCGTGGAGACGTGTTTTCCCAGAAACGGCCCAAGCCTAAATTCGAGCGCCAACGGGCGTCTTGGTGGATTGGATCGGAGAAACGACCCTGTCACGCCGCTGCTCAATCAGTGGACGTATCAGGCAATGCTGCACGAGCTCCTTGGCATGGATAACAATCGTATCGACTTATCGAAGGCTCTGCCGCGGGGTGGTGGCGGATGTGCGAGTGAATGAAAGGCTGCGCTTTTCCGCCTCAAGATGCCGCTCAAGACGCTTTGCGATCACTGTCCACCCGTGTATTCCGTCTTGTGAGATAAGTTCACAGGTTGTGCGAGGGCTTGTGCAGGGATGGGTTTTGCTCAGCGGTCATG